TCTGACTTTGTTTTTCACACTGGACTCCACAGAGAAGAAATCCCGTGCATACTGCTGCTTAAATGTTCACTACTTCACAACTTATTCAGCAAATGTTCCATCTCAACTTTTGTGCATTAACTCTTACAGGATGGAGGAAACTGGTCTTGGTGGAGGTTTGCACTCTCCAAGTGCTTCTAGTTTTTTAAATAATTTACTGAATGCTTCTCATTGTTTTGTGTTAAAATAAACACTTTGGTGAAACAGTTKCTTACTGGGTTTTTCCTCTATGTGTATTTTTTGTAAGTTGGTTTTAAATTTCATTTCCAGAGGTCTTAAAAAGTCTTAAATGGAACTTTAAGCTGGAGGAACCCTGCTGCAGCACTTAWATGAACCTGGAACATGTTTTCTCCTGAGGAACGATTGATCAGAATCGTTCAGCTGATGAGATTCTGTCACTTTCATTATGCAAACAGTTCTGCTCGGCAGGGATGGAGGATGAGGAGGAACTCTCAAACAGGTGGAGGAAGATGTGGCAACAAGGAGGAGAGGACCTGCAGGGTCCAGGCTGATCCAGACCTGATTCAGAGCGGAGGTTGGCTCTTTGAACCAGCTGCAGTTTGCAGACGATGTTTGGGTTTGTATTGCTTTTTTTAACACAAAGATTTAAAATGTTCAACATTATAATATAACTGAGGATTTATTGAGAGGTTTGTTGCAGAAAAACGATGTGGGTGTTGAATGTTTCATTTCCTGTTTCCTGCCTGTGCGTATCCAAGTGTTGGATGGTTTAATTGGAAACGGGCGATCTCTGTTTCTGCGCAGAACGAGTGTTTACGAAACCCCGCGTCTCCTCTCCATCTTTTAATAAAGAGCCTTCCTCCCAGCTTCTTTCTGCCCAGTGACACTTTCCAAAGCTGTGACATTTATACCCAAATGGTAATTGATTCAGAGGAAGCTGTTAGTATGCAGCTACAATTTAACAACTCTCCTCGTGGGGCGAGGAGAAAAATCAAGCTTTTCTCTTTTTTTTAGTGCAGCTGCTGCTGGGTTTTGTTTTGTTGTTTTAGGCAGCCACCTTCCATGCTGTGAGATGAGGGTGAAAAAGAAAAAAAAGGTGTCTTGTTTTCTGTTTTGCTTCCCGACTGGACACACACACACACACACACACACACACACGGCTCGTGCTGAGCTTGTTATTGATTGGATGCCACTGACAGAATGGACTTTTTTCCCAGGCACAGCTCTGCACTCGGGCTGCAGGCTGTGTTTACCGGTGCGTCTCGTACCTTCGCAGTCAGGGCACGGACACGGCCGTGCAGGACGGCGACGGCAGCAACAAACAAGCAGCAGTAATCCTCCTCAAACACCGTAAAGCCTGCTGAACAAAAAGACTGCTCCTGCTCTTTGACTGCACGCAGGCCTCGCAGACTTCGCCGGCGTTGTCACTCACGATTAGCGCTCGCACGTCCCGAAAACAGACGCTCGCAATTACGACCCGCTTAACGAGAACAAACGAAGCAATGATTGGCCGTATAATGTGACCTCTAGCAGCTCATTGTGCGTCCTCGCCACGCGTTTCGCTCTCAGCAGCTGCTCACGCGGATGAAGGTAATCGCTCACCGTGAAAGGCGCCACAACCGAGAAACTCGGAGGAAGCAGATCCTGCGAAGAGCCCAAGGACTGTTCTGTTCATTACAGCAATCTGGGGCCTGCTCTGGAAGAGAAGCAATTTGGAGCGTTTGCAGCAGAGGTGGAATGAGTTTAGAGCTGAAGACTTCCAGCTAAACAAGACGAATGTCCTGCGCTGCTCCCTGCTCGTCCCGGTTATTAGTCTGGTACAAGTGATGGAACAGGACTCACAACTTCTGTTTTCTCAGGCTGTAAACCTGTTTCTGCCTGCTTCCATCACCGTTCTCTGCACAATCACAACACAAGAATACATCCAACACCCAGCTTCCTGCTTCAGCCTGCACCTAACCTGCCCGGAGTCTGATGAACAGATGTTGTTCAGCACCCAACATCTGTCAGGGCTGAGCTCTCAGCTCCCTTTCAATCCCTCATCTGCACCGACAGAAGCAGATCTTCATCTTCCTGGACCGTTCTGCCTCCCCAACCTTTGAAAAGCAGAAATGCAGCAGAAAGTTTTCATTTCCCTTGATCCTACTTGGTGTTCTGAAAGAATTAATTATTCTTTAATGTGCAGCTTATCCAGTCACTCAGGTCCAAAGTAGAAGTTATGTTTCAGCTTTTAATCCCTTTTCTGTGCAGAAAAACTCAGTGAGGTGAGGTAAATTAGAAATAAAAACAGCTTTAATAACTTTTCTACAGAAACAAGAGTCTGAAAGTTTCTTTTTATTTAATTAGAGACCAAAGTGTTGTAGTTTTGTACCTGCTGGGTACCAAACAGTTACCACTTTGTACCCAGGAATTTCTGCTCAGGATCAGACTGGGCTTTATTTACCAAACATTATTAAACAATCATTTTAATATTAAAGCTTTTCCATGAAAAACTGAGTCATTTTTGAAAAATGTATTTCAGTGAGTCATCAGTGTATTTATACACAAACACCCTCAGAAATACATAGWAAAAATGTTTTATGTTTGTTTTCTTCTTCTGGACGAAAAGTTTGGTTATATTTTCGCATCTGTTTCAAGAAAAAACATTGTTTTTAAAATTATGAGGTTTTTTTCCTGTTTTTCTCCAGATGTTTGTCTAAAAGACTCTGTGGGTAAATTGTGTAGAACTCTGTRCTTCTTCTTGTCTCTTGATCGATATTTTTGTGTTTTTTTTTTCTGAACTTTCCAGTTTAACCTCAAATCAACTAACAGATCAAGGCTGGAATAAATCCAATCAAATCATCACAAAGTAAGAAAAAATTTGAGCTCCTTCTCTTCATCTTATTAGAAATGATGAAGCTCAGAAGCCTGGAGCTAATCTCATTAACTTTATTTTTACTCATTTCATTWACTCTCATCAACCACTTTATYAGGTACACCTTGCAAGTATTGGGTTGGACCCTTTTTTTCCCCTTCAGAACTGCTTTAATCCTKGGTGGCAGAGATTCAACAAGGTAMTGGAAACATYCCTCAGAGAGTCTGGTCCATATTGACATGATAGCATCACACAATTGTTGCAGATTTGTCAGCTGCACGTTCATGATGTGAATCTCCTGTTCCACCACAWCCCAAAGCTCTATTGGACTGAGATCTGGTSACTGTGGAGCCATTCCAGTACAGTGAACTCATTGTTTTCAAAAAACCAGTCTGAGATGATTCACGCTTAATGACATGGAGCGTTATCCTGCTGGAAGTAGCCATCAGGAGATAGTAAACTGTGGTCATAAAGGGATGGACCTGGTCAGAAGATGGTACATTGTGGTCATAAAAGCACGGACATGGTCAGAAGATCGTACACTGTGGTCATAAAGGGATGGACCTGGTCAGAAGATGGTACACTGTAGTTGGACAGGTGGAGCTAAGAAAGTGTATTTTTGTAACTGCTTTCCTTTCATACGAACAAACATCTTCCATCTGAAGTATTTGACATGTCCTCTACCAACCTGTTGATTCATGTGTCTCTCCTCCTGACTCTGATGGATTCTGGTCTCAGTCTAAATGTTGCACCGAGGTGGAAATAAAATCAAAGAGTTGAAGAG